TATAGTGAGCCAATGAAAGGTGAATTCTTGCCAAAGTCAAGTGGAGGGGAAGGAGCGTACCGGGTTGGATAAAGTAGCCAAGTGGTTTACTCACCCGTATCTCCCTTGCCTTTACGCTCAGTGGAGCAGATTTTTCTAAATATTTCTAAAACTGAAAAAGTAGAACGATCCTCCCCTCCTCAATTTTTTTCCTTTAGTACGACTCACCCCTCCTTTCCCATCTCCCATGCTGCCTACCATATTCTTAAACCCCAAAATTTTCTGTCTTCTTACATTTTAAGCTTAGTTTTGCGAAAATTCTCCACCTTTTCTCTGCAAACACTGCCGTCGAGCGCGCAGGAGGGAGAAGGGGATGTGTAGCACGATTGAAGCGTGGGGAATAGTGCCAACTTTTTGTACCTGAGATAATGTAGACACGCTTGGAGAGGAACACATTTAAAGGGTGTGAAGGTCGTGGCGTTTTTCTGCTTGTACTCGTCGTCAATAGTGTGTTTTTCGCTTTTTAGCGGATCAGTTAACGATCGTTATTTCAGATTTTTCTCGACGAATGGGTGAAAACGAGGCTAACGGCTACTCGAGTTCCCAGTCGTCCTCCCCTATTCTTCATCCATTGAAGCGAGCTCGTCCATCTGACTACAACGGTGAAGACATGGAAGTTGACGACTACATCACGATAAATATGATGGAAGGAACCAGTGACGGACTCTCAGGTTATCAATATCTTGAACATCCAGCCGATGTGCAGGTGCATTCGTGGGGTCCAGATCTGGCATCAGCCCTTGCACAAGCTGTGACTGCGACTTATGGTTATATGACCGATCTGGAACTTGTCGAGGAACAATTCTCAATGTTCTACACAGCTAAGGCCAATGATATGCAAGGACTAGTGTGTGCCATAATGGAGGAAGCTCTTTGTGGGTTCCAGTCTGAGCCCTTTTTCGTAGGACGACGAGTTATCGTAGAAAAATTGGATTTGGAGACGTGGTCGGCTGAGTTTCAAGTGTTTGGAGAGTGTTTCGACTTGGAAAAGCATACTCAACTCACCGACGTGAAAGCTATTACCTATTCAAATATGCAAATTCATCAAAAGGATGACCGATGTGATATTTATGTTATTCTTGACATTTGATTGATGCTTGCATTTTATTTTTTAGTTAAAGGGGACACTTGCGCAGTTGGAGAGGGCTAGTGAGCCTCCGCGACACCATTCATTGAGTAAAGGGCAACGAGAGTGGTCGTATTTGGCCGCTGGAGAGGGGGGGGGTCGCCTGGTTGCACTCTTCCTACCACTTGAGGTTGTAGTCCCTTTCCGAAAGACTGTACTCGCCCCGGCCTGGTGCTCCCCTCCAACTACTTAGTGCCCAGAGGCGCAGTCTGCAATAGATGTACCTTTTCGCGAGTCCTCATACGAATCTACGAGCAGTGCTCCCTCCACCTACACTTGTTGAACATCACCTCATGAAAGTT